AAAAAAAATCCCAAAACGCAGCCGATATGAGTCCAAGTGTTAAACTACGGCGCAGGAACCATTCCTGCTGTTAATGGCCTGCAACGTTAGCGCAAAAACGCGTTATGGCAAGGTCCTGTCTGCATACGTCTCTCTTTCATGCTTCAGCTCCAGAATTACGCAACTCTACAAGCGCAGCTCCCAGTTACGAATAAGTCCATTGTACAGTTAAATCCCACAATTTCCCTGTATCTCAACGTAGGAGATTTGACTTCACGGCCTGGCATTATAGCTTATAGTCACAACATGCAAAAACACCACCTGCTTTAACTTCATTGACGCTGTCCAATGAACAGTCAAAAAACCACTGTGATGAGACAAAATCTCAGTCATCCACTGCAGTCCTGCAACAATTCGCCAAAACGCGTAACTACGTATCGCATTCGCATAATTCCACTTTCTATGATCTCAGTGAAGTAATTTAATCGGTGCTAATGCTCAATCTAAACAGTGCGCAACTCGCATGAGCTGCTCTGCATCGAAATCTTGCGTTTCTGGATTTTCGGAATGAAACATAGGCTGCTCTGTCATCGACACTTTTGTCATAAATTCGTCTCAAAGATCGTGCTTTATCGATTTCACTAAAGATTGAACGCAATTCTCCTTTTGTTAAGAATTCATTGTTAAAAATATTCGTGCGTCTATTGTCGACTACTGCAAAGATTGCTTCTTGAAGAGTTTAGTCGGCGAAGAGCACATCCCAGCTACGATGCAAAAAGGAAAGTGTTTTAGCAGGTATCGCTCGCTGAGTTCACGTTTGTGCACTCTCCAATCTTCAAAGCCGTCTGTGTTTGAACAATTAGCAGTGGAAACATCGCTTTGCAGCAGCAGTGACTTGTCCAGCTTTTAAAGAGATGTAATGCAAAAATTAGCGACACAATGCTAGCTCGAGCGTCTTCGGTGCAAAAAATTTGCAAAAACAAGACGGGAAGATATGCATGGCCGAAGAACGGTAGGTAAACTTGCAGAAACTGATTTTATATGATGTTTCAGTGTATCATGACAACCAAATTTTCGCGAGCTGTACTTTTTATAATTGCTGCCAGCGTACTCCTCTTCTGCTTGTTTGCATTAATGACTTTGATTTTATGTTTCTTTGTTAAATTTTCTATTACGCACTAAGAAAAAATCACTGCAAAAAGCATTTTTTCTTGCATATCAGAAAAGTTACTCAGAGCTTATACGTAACACTTGTAGAAATCGATCAAACTCGTTGTAATAATATGGCAATCCCTTGTCCACCACCGACACACGCTGAGCCAATTCCATATGATACTTTTCGCCTTCTAAAAAAAAAATTGTGCAGCAAAATTTATTACAAAGTCTCGCAGTCAGTAAACGTAAAGGATTTCCAGCAAGGCAGAAATCCATTTCCAGACCGAATAAGAGGTTGCTGGTAAGAAGAATCTATAAAAATGGTATTCTTTGAAAAATGATGAAAAGCAACAACTAACTGCATTTCATAGCATAAATGACAGATAATTCGCGATCCTGATGCAGCTAGTGGATGTCCAATGGCGATTGCCCCACCGTTCACATTCAGTCGCTCATCTCGCAGCTTCAGTTCACGTTGAACAGATACTGTTTGAGCAGCGAACGCTTCGTTGACCTAAACATTTCAGATTTCCCTTTTCAAACAAAACATAGTTGGCTAGCGCACCGAAGATGCGTTTTTTACACAGTTCCCGCAGGTTTTTGCCGCTAACGGCGCCGGTCTTTTTCGGCAGATGCTTCTGGCTAAACGAATTAAGATTGGTCGTCAGGACTGCCAGGAAACATCCCCTTAAAATTCCAGCTTTCTAGCTTTCCTGGTCCCCGAGTAACAACTTACCCACCAAAGTTTACACAGGCCTGTATATGGGAACCACACAAATTTTGGAGCTGGGTTTAAATCCATTAAGACCTCCGTAGACGGGAAATATCCGCTTAAAACTACAGCCTCCTAGCTCTTCAGATTTCCAAGTTAGCAATTTATCCACACGGAATTTTCGCGGGCAGAACCGCACACCTGGGGACTAAATTTAAAGTCATTAGATTATATGTGGACGGAGAAAACCTCCTTAAAATTCCAGTCTTCTAGCTTTTAGGACTACCGAGTTAACAATTTACCCACAAGAAAATTTTAGGCCCACACTTGGGAGCTACGCATACCTGGGGGCTGGGATTAAATTCGTTAAAACCCACGTGGATTGAGAACATCACCCTAAAATTCAAGTCTTTTAGCTTTTCAGAGTCCCAAGTTAGCAGCTCACCCGCCAAGAAATTTGACGAGCCCGTACGTGGGAACCACACCGGTAGGATCGTCCATTTTGAAGATGGAGGTCTGTACGTGCATGTAGATTAAGCACCCAAAGTTTCAGTCCTGTAGCTTTTGCAGGTTTCGAGATGAAAAATCGATGCAGACGAACACACAGACAACCCCTCGACAATACGCGTTTTTGCACTGCACAGATGCTAAAAACGCACAAAAAACGAATCAGTTGAAATTTACTCTAAATGCAAGCAGAGAAAATTGAACAAAAAGCCTGCGAGCCACATTACGTCCTAGTATAAAATTGGAAACAGTTTCGGAAACTGACCTTTGCAGGGACATAAACTGCCCACTGTAGAACACCACGCTAAGTTGATGCCAAGTGGCTTGCGTGAAACTGCATCTCTTACTAAATCTCGAGTAGTTATGAGATCAGTCCAAAAAATTTAACCAATCGACAATTTGCAAACACACAAACCTCGACTAGATCGATTTTGCTAAGTTCCATTCCGGTTAACTTCAGCAAACGTTTGATTGCCGGAACCGGGCCAATTCCCATCACCGTTGGGTCGCAGCCAACGACTGACCATGCTATAACTCGCGCCAGCGGTTTCAGCGAATGCTTCAGGACGGAATTTTCATCAGCCACAATGACTGCTGCTGCACCGTCACAGATACCCTTCAAAACTTGCATAAGCAAATTTCTCGCCGCCCTGTCTCTCTTTATTTTTTAAAACTGCACAAATTTTGAATGGCCAGAAGAAGGAGTATCAGTGTCTTATAAAGATTTTTCAAGATGTGTTCCTTTTGGAGTTTTTTGAAGTATTAATTAATCAGAGTGTTCACGTTTCCCTGAGCACTCGCGGAATCAGTTGCAGCAGAAAGTGATGGGTATAATACGATTTAAACCACTCACACCTTCGATACCAAAGAATGAATAATTATTAAATTCAGATAATTAGAAATGCATTAAAACACTCTCTATTGTCATTAAAGAGCAACGCGGTAGTCGGAAGCAGAACGAATGAGTACTGGCGGGTCCAAACGCAGCGCACAATGCTATTTGTGGCCTACAAGTCTCAAAAACTACTGCTATGTAACTGAAAGCTAGTCATTAAAAAAGGAAATCTCAGAGTGATTAAAACTCACCATGTCTGCCTCTCTGCATATGCTTACTACCTCTTCATACTCAGTTTGAGTTGCCATTTTCTTTCCCAGAATGCTGAATACAACTGAAGCAAGCTACACGACCTGCATATATCACTAATGACTATTATCGCTGTTAGTCACGAAGATAACCTTCTGACTACTTATTCAACAAAGCGTTTACCTTATTTATTGTTGACTGAAGTTGACCCATAGCTAGTACAGTATTCGCTGTTTTTTTATCAGTGACTACTTTTGCACCTACCAGCTACTGCAGTTAGCGTGACGGTATTGGAAACACTAGAAAGATCTTTCCGGCTTCAGAACTGGCTGGCTGCTGTATAACCTACGATGTTTGGCAACCCTCTGTTTGTGGCACATATTCACTTCCTGGTTCAAATAAAAGCTGCAGTCTACTTCGTTTATCGGCAAATTCCATACACATTCCGAGACCTCTCATTTCCTTTCTTTCAGATTTGCTGGCTAGCTGACCTATTTTCCCCGCCTTTTTAAGTCCCGTAGCATTTTATTCATTGAATGC